AGGGGGACTTGTTTGGGGTTGCAAAGCTTAATGAATAAGGCTGTTATTCATTTAAGGAATGTCCCAAGAAAAGAGAGAGAAGTCAGGCTGTTTTGAAAATGCAATATAATTTTGTTTATTTATTTATTTATCTTCAAAATGGGGTAAATAAGACAAACATTTGAAGTAAGGTGTTTTGGGAAGGTCTTATTGGCTGTTGGCTTTGCAGGTGATTGTGCTGGGGAAGTGGAGTACAGTGAGCTGCTTGCGAGGACAACCAGACAACACCACACCTGTGGAGATGTGCTCCACCTCTTTCTCTGGGCATGTCTGCTCCTCCTGCTGAAAACAGCGAGGCCCACGGTTTGGATTTCTTAAAATCTCAGCCTCAGAGGGACCTCTAGGGACAAAGTGACCTCACATTGGGAACTTTATTGCCTAGATCCTGGCAGGCTTTGCAGCTCTGGGTTGCTTGTTGCAACAGTTCTTGGGAAGCAAGACTCTCTCTACAACAGCATCTGTCTGTGCTTGCTTTCGTCTGCTCTTAGGAAGACCCAGTGAGACCCCAGCCCTGGGGATCCTGAACAGCTTGAAACCTGAGGCTGTTCCTTCTGCCTCCAAAACATATTTTATAGGAAACAAGGAACACAGAAATAGTGGAAGCAACCAAGAGGAGAATCAAGAAAAACCTAAAATTTTCAATATTCAAAAATACTTGTTGTGGTCATTGACGTAGGGAACACTGAGTTCACTGAAGAGCTTTGTAATTGTTGGACAGGAAACACATTTGCTGCAGGAACAAATGTGTGTTGTCTTTCCAGCTTAGTCAAAGAGGGATCAGTAAGTATCTGGAGCATGGAGAGAATGTACTCATAGGCCATCCTGCTTGTGTCTGACTCACCCTGACTCTCCAGTGAAGCAGAAAGGAGAAAACATCACACCACCCAGGTGTGGCCAGACGCTGACCATTATTGTGGATCCCCAAGAGTTAGCACAGTCCCTTCCCCCAAATGATTTAATTTGTGCTTCAGCTACAACTCTTGGCTCACGTCTAGGCACATCATAAAGAAAGCTGCAGAAGCAGAGACACGATGAGGCGAGAAGAGGAGGAAGAGGAGGGAACCAGGATGAAGGCAAAGGGGGACCTAGAGATGAAGGAGGAGGAGGAGATCAGTGAGACGGGGGAACTGGTTGGCCCTTTTGCAAGTGCTGTGCACTCTCCAATGCCCCACAACAAGGGAACCCGGTTTTCTGAGGTGTGGGAGTACTTCCACCTGGCCCCTGCTCGTGCTGGGCACCACCCCAACCAGTTTGCCACCTGCCGCCTGTGTGGACGGCAGGTGAGCCGTGGCCCTGGGGTCAATGTGGGCACTACAGCTCTGTGGAAGCATCTGAAAAGCATGCACAGAGAGGAGCTGGAGAAGAGTGGCCATGGTCAGGCAGGGCAGCGCCAGGACCCAAGGCCCCAAGGGCCCCAGCTCCCCATGGGCATCGAGGGTGACTGGGGCAGGCTGCTGGAGCAGGTGGGTGCCCTGGCTTTATGGGCCAGCCACAGGGAAAAGGAGGTGCTTAGGAGGGAGAGGGTTGTGGAATGGCGGGAGAGAGCTGTGGAAAGGAGGGAGCGAGCCCTGGAGGAGGTGGAAAGGGCCATCCTGGAGATGAAGTGGAAGGTGAGGGCTGAGAAGGAGGCATGCCAGCAGGAGAAAGAACTGCCTGCAGCGGCACATCCCTTCCATTTTGTTTAAATTGGGTGAGGGGGAGTCTATTCTGAAAACACTGACTGTAGAATTACAGCAAAGAGCCATTTAAGTTCCAGCTCAAATATAAAGTAAAGTAGTTTAGTGGCATTTTGCTTTTAAGAGAAAGAGTGCATAGCATGAGTTAATCTCAGCAGGTCTAAATTGACCACGTGCTTATCTACAGAGTTCATAGAGCTGTGCTGATCCTTGGCCGAAACATTAAAATGTACTAATTAAAGACAAATGCTGTTTTCTGGGGCCGGCCCGGTGGCGCACTGCTACAGTGCGCCGCTTGGGAGCGCAGTGGCCCTCCCGCCGAGGGTTCGGATCCCACATACAGACCGGTTCCCGCTCACTGGCTGAGCGAGGTGCGGGTGAGACACTGAGGGTTGTGATCCGTTGCCGGACACGAAAAAAGACAAAAAGGAAAAGACAAATGCTGTTTTCCACTGGGTCTACCAGTTGTTTCAGTGCAGAATATACCAGTTTGTCAGCATTGTTTAGTAAAAATAATTGGATTTATGCTCAACACTTAGTTTTGGTGGAGCTGAAGGTTTTGACAGTTGAGTAAGGCTGGCCAGGTAGCTGGCATGTGCCTGCATGACCAGCTCCCTCTCAGCAAC